GTCATCAGAATCAGTTGATTTTGATTTCTTTGAGATGGTTGGTGAAAGTGAAAGTGATTTTCTTTCATTAACAGGAAAAAAAACTGGTGGACGTTCCTCCTGTTCTGGCGTTAAACGTTCGCTACGCGTATGCCTTGGTGGAATAGGTGGAAAATTTAATAGGAGTGATGTGACAGGCATAGCTTTGCCAACAGTAGGTAAACGACGATGACCATAATTTTTATTCCCTGTTTCTTGACCAAATGAACTTTGATGAGACTGCATTTTATGTGTTAAATTAAGGATTTATGTTAGGAACTTGGTTTTTATAAACTTTTAACATTAAAGACGAGATTTTGTAAATAAATTAATACAGTTTGGTTTTTTTATTTTGTTATATTTTAAGAATTTTTAAATATTTTTTAACCTCTTTTTTAGGACAAAACATTACAGTGTAAGAAAAACACTTATATTTAACACTTTCTATTTAACATAATTTAAATAAATTTTTTCACAATTTAATTATAATAAGAATTTCGATATATTTACTACATCATTCTTTAAAATATTGTATGTTACTTTCACAATTTTTATATGTAATAATATTTTTAAATTAATCACTTTAATAATATAATAATCCTTTTTTTTAAAATAGTTTAATTTATTAAATCTATTTAATCAAATTTGATTAAAAGCATTTTTAATTTTTATTTATTGTATCCAATGCAACCACTAAGTACACTGCATAAAATTTTGTTCATTCATTCGCACAATAAACTTGACATCCACTTTGCGTTTAGAACATGAAACTATTAAAGCCGAGAGACAATAAACGTTCCTTATTTATATTGGACCAGATCGAGGCTATCAGCATAGTCAACTTGCTAGGCATCGCATCATAGCAGAAACACTCTCTTCCACAATTGAAATGACTTAACTCTGTGTCTGCTTGCCTGCCTGCCTGCCTTTCAGTCTGCTTACATATGTTTGTGTTGAATTGTTGCGTGAGTTTGTTGTTTTTGTTATTGTTGGCTTTTTACTTTTTTTACTATTTTCTTATATCAATTTTTGTTG